TTCACTTTAAACTAAATAAAAGGGGTTTTATCAGGACGAGAAGTCGGCTTCGTGCTTTTGGCAAGCCTAGGTCAGAACAGAAATAAAACTCACCATTTTATAAAGATTGTACAAAGCTAGGGTGTGGAATATTCTGGGCAACCAATCTCAGAAAGACTACTCAAGTGTACGGAAACAAGCAAGAGAAGTGAAGCCAGAGAAGAGAAGCAAGTAGTAGGGCTGTATTACTATTATCCTTCTCATCTTCCCTATTACCTTCTCCTATTAGTATCTTACAGTTTATTATTTTGTTGCTTGTATGTACACCCGGGAGTTTTTGCACTGGAGACAAATTCCTTGTGTGCCCAATCACACTTGACCAATGAAAATTATTCTAATTCTATCCAAAGAAGAGCGAAGCTTGCTAATTGGAAATATGTGGGAAGGAAGGAAGATAGGCCAGGTTTCCTGCATCAAGTGGGAGTTATGAAAGGAAATTGTGACATTAAAAAAAGAAACATTGGATTAGCTAAAAAAAACGAAGGAGAACAAGGACTCCATCTGGTAGTTGGAAGCTTACAGGAAGAGAGGGAAGTCTCTGGGATGAGATAACAGATCATACCAAGTCAATTCTTCTGCTATCTTTTTTTAACAAAGGCCATTCTCACTTTCCAAAGGCCAGGGAGACAGCTGAGCTAGCAAGTCAGCATGGCCTTCCTGAGCCCTCTTATTTGCTGACTCCACAAAACTATTGGGAAAGAGAAATTCTGCAAGTAAGTTGTCCACATGCTTTCAACTCTTTTAACTTCAGACAAGAATATTCCTTGAGCAAAAAAAAAAGGACTCTTCCAACCTAAGAACATTTCTGGAAGGGTCAGAACACTTTATGCATGAGAAGCAACTGATTCAAGCTTGAATATTGCAAGGTCAACAGGTCATAGCAATCCCAACAGATGAATTCTTTTGTCCTTTCTCCAGTAATCATTTTTCTGAAGGGTGACAGAAGGGGAGACATATTAATCCACAATGTGAAGAGAGAACTTTGAGTAACTGGTGGCAAAATTGTGTGGACCAGTCAAGGAACTAATTTATACTTTTACCAAAAAATAGTAATAATACATCCTTTGATTCCAAAATCTATTTGTTGAGGAGTGTGTTAAATTGAACCATTCTATCTCACGTACTTGTTTTCTGCAGAAGAGAATTTTCTTATCTATTCCCCATATAAGAGGAATAAATACGAGTCTACGGAAGAGAAAGTAATGTAGCAAAAGAGCAAAGGGGGGGAGGAGGAGGAATACAGACAGATAATAGGTAAATAGATAGGTAGGTGAATAGGTAGATAGACAGACAGCCGTACACAGAGACAGAGAGACATACTTTCAGATAGGACTGGGAACTATTGCATTAGAACCAATTTCCTCTGCTAACCAAAGTAGACACTGAGATGCGATACATGTTTTATTTTTCCATCACACTGGTAGATGCTCCACCCAGTCTGTTCAAAGGAAGTTTATTTTGAGCTCAAAACAATCAGCACAGCTGGGCACCATTTCTGCTAATTCACTGTTGCATAAAGTCAAAGAAGAAAACAGAATTTTCATGTGAAAATTTTGGAATCAAAAACGCTCCAGAGGAAGACCTTCATAAATTAAATGTCAGGTTTTTTTTTTTAATGTTCCTACTGTGCTTCTATATAAGATAGCAATGGGTAGAAACTAACCAAGGAGAGAAGCAACCTAGAACTAAGAAGAAATGTCGTAATGGTGAGAGCAATCAACCAATGGAATAGCTTGCCTTCAGAAGTTGTGAATGTTCCTTCCTTTCTTCCTTCAGACCCTTTGTTTTCCACTTTTCTCCTGACATGCAGATTAGTCAGGACATCATGAATGTGTGGAAGAGAGAGGAAAAAATAGAGTTCTAATTAGGTGCAGTTTCCAAACAAGGAAATCAAAATTTCTATTTACTAAGGTAAAGGTTCCTCTTGCATATACGTGCTAGTCGTTCCTGACTCTAGGGGGCGGTGTTCATCTCTGTTTCAAAGCCGAAGAGCCAGTGGCATCCAAAGACGTCTCTGTGGTCATGTGGCCAGCATGACTAAATGCCGAAGGCACCCGGAACGCTGTTCCCTTCCCACCAAAGGTGGTCCCTATTTTTCTACTTGCATTTTTGCATGTTTTCAAACTGCTAGGTTGGCAGAAGCTGGGACAAGTAATAGGAGCTCACTCTGTTACGTAGCACTGGGGATTCAAACCGCCGAACTGCCGACCTTTCTGATCGACAAGCTCAGCATCTTAGCTATTGAGCCACTGCGTTCCTCTTCTATTTAATATGAAGTGAAAGGATACAATAAGTTCTGGCTTCTTTTTTTAGTCTAATTATAGTTTCTCATTAGCTGAAAGGATCCCTTCTCAAGATCCAGCTGGCTAAGGACCAGAATGCATTCAAGGTTTCTGCTTCAGCAAATGGACATGGCTGCTGTTTTCCTGCTAACAGATGTTTCTTGAGAGTACATGTATAATCATTTGGTTTTGCTTTGCCTGGGAAGATACAACATTATTTCTATTCTGTCTAGATGCACCTAGAGTACCGCATCCAGTTTTGGTCAGCACACTATAAAAAAGATGTTGAGGCTATAAGAAGAGTGCAGAGAAGAGCCACAAAGATGATTAGGGGGCTGAAGGCTAAAACATATGAAGATTGGTTGCAGGAACTGGGCATGTCTAGTGAAGTGAAGGACCAGAGGAGACATGAAAGCAGTGTCCCAATAGCTAAGATGCTGCCACAGAGAAGAAGGGATCAACATATTTTTGAAAGCACCTGAAGGCCAGACAAGGAACAATGGATGGAAACTGGTCAAGGAGAGATTCATATGTTTTAGCCTTCAGCCCCCTAATCATCTTTGTGGCTCTTCTCT